CCCCCAACCCCCTCGCTCAACTGCCCCTCATTGAGGAAGGGGAACCGCCCCCTCCCTCATCCTGTCAACCTACGTAAGTTAGTACCTGGTCTATCTGCACCTAGCGGGGAGAACCAAAAAAAGCCCACAACACCAGCCCGTCTCTGTACGAGCACACATCCGCAGCAACACCACCACCAACCGACCGCCCGCAACCAAACAACCAAAACAAACAAACGCAACGACACTCCTTCCTTCCTCCGAAGCCCTGGCCTGGCCTCGCCAGGTCTCGCCCGCGCTGAGGCCTGCCTATTCCGTCCAGGGCCGCCGTCTTGCTTGGTAATTGGGAATTGCAAAGCAAGGGCGTGCCAGGTGTAGTACAACACATACGAAACGTACAACGTACGTAAGTTACAGGAAACACCAGGCAACACCACCACCACCAACCACCACGAGCTGGCTCGGGCTGGGCTGAGCTGCTGCTGCCGCCCGCCCGCCGAATCGGCGACTTGGGCCGAAAAAGCGGGCGGGCGGGTGGGCGCGCATGTCTGTCGTACATCCTGTACATCCTGTGCGCCATCGCGCGCTGCTGGATTAATCATCATCAGGGCGATTCAGCCCCGTCGGGTGTCGGTCCCATGCTCGGGCAATAATAATATTGGGGGGAGCTGTCCTGTTGTTGGTGCGCCGTATAACAGGTAGGTAGGTACCACGAGGCACGGCAGGGTGGTATTACTGGGGGAAGAAGAGAGAGCGGCTGCGGCTGCGGCTGCGGCGCTGTGTCTCCTCCAGCCCAGGCGAGCGGGCCGTGAAAGTCGTGCGGCTCAAAGCCCTCCTCCCCTCTTGCCCGACGGTCCGTCTCGCGCCGGATAGCGTCGGTCGGTGGATTTGTAAGTCAAGTCGCGAAGACGGGCGGGAGCCAACGAGAGAACACAAGGACCTGCTCATCGGACCTTTCACAGCTGCACGGCAAACACCTCGCATTGGCAGAACAAAAAAAGAACTTCTATGATTTCAAAGGCTCTCCCCCCTCCATGCCACGCTATCGGTACACTCTGGCCTCCTCTCTCTCTCTCCGATCTCGTCCTCCCCTGTCATACACAGTTTATAATCCAACCTCAGTGTGACGTGCGCCCGGCCCCCCTCGATCGGTGTCAGCGGGGTTCGCGAACGCGCGCGCGCGCACACCGCCAGATATTCCTCCCATGTTTTGTGTTCCAGACTCTCGTGGTATCAGCTCGTTCGGTCGGGGACTTTGTCTGTCTGGTGCGGTGGTGGTGGGTGGGTGACGGCAGCTTAGATGGTCTCCATCTTGTCGAGGATGGCCTTGGTGAACTCGTGCGTCGTGGACTCGCCGCCCATGTCGCGCGTGCGGACCTTGCTAAGGAAGAAGTCAGTTTTGTATTTCTCGACGGATCAAAAGAGGTGGGAAAGGAAACGCACCCCTCGGCAATGACGCCGTAGACGGCCTTGGAGATGCGGTTGGCGTGGTCGTCGAGGCCCAGGTGGCGCAGCAGCATGCTGCCCGAGAGGATCAGGGCCGTGGGGTTGGCCTGGTCCTTGCCCTTGATGTCGAGGCCGACGTGGCGGCAGCCGGGCTCGAAGACGGCCACGTCGCGACCCATGTTGCAGCCGGGGACGATGCCGGGCCCGCCGACGAGGGCGGCGCCAATGTTGGACAGGATGCCGCCGTACAGGTTGGGCATAACCATGACGTCAAACTGCTGGGGGCGCGAGACGGCCTGCATGGAGGCGTTGTCGACAATCATGTCGTTGACCTCGAGCGTGGGGTACTCCTTGGCGACCGAGTGGAAGGTGCTGCGGAACAGGCCGTCGGCCAGCTTCATGATGTTGGCCTTGTGGATGCACGTCACCTTGGAGCGGCCGTTGGCGAGGGCGAACGCAAAGGCGAACTTGGCGATGCGCTCCGACTTGGCGCGGGTGATGATCTTGAGGGACTCGACGACGCCCGGGACGCTCTGGTGCTCGAGGCCCGAGTACTCGCCCTCGGTGTTCTCGCGGATGATGCACAGGTCGACGTCCTTGTGGCGCGTCTCGTAGCCGGGGATGTTCTTGATGAGGGAGATGCTGGCGTAGATGTCGAGCTCCTGGCGCATGGCCACGTTGAAGCTCTGGTGGCCGGACCGGCTGATGGGCGTGTGCAGGATGCCCTTGAGGCCCAGCTTGTTGCGCTTGAGCGACGCCACCGACTCGCGGAAGGCGTCCTCGGTGCGACCCGCGCCCACCGAGTCGATGCCCGAGACCTCGATCTGCTCCCACTCGACGGGCACGTTGTCCGCCTTGAAGATGGTCTTGACCGACTCGGCCACCTCGGCGCCGATGCCGTCGCCGGGGATCAGCGTCACCGTGTACTTGCCGCCGAACTTGGCCGGCTTGAAGATGTCGGACTGGACCGTCGCGAAGGACCGGGCGGCGAGATGCTGCGGCTGGCCGGCAGCGGCAGTGGTGGCACCGCGCAGGACCTGTTGGAGAGAACGGGGTCCGCGTTAGCATTCTCTTGTTCTGTTCTCGCTGACGTAGGAAGATCTCGCCCGCGACGTCACTTCCCCCTCCTTGTTCGTTCCTCCCGCCATCTCCGTCCGTCCCGGGGGCCGGGTTGAACGAGGAGGGGAGGGGTTCGGCCCAATGCCGCAACCCAGTGCTCGTCTCGCAATTGCCTCAGTCCCCTTGCCCAGAGGCGTGCAACAGCCAGACGAGCCCCTCGCCTCTGTTCGCATGACCGTCCAGCACGAAATTGCCGGGCGAGCGGCGAGCGCCGGGGTGGGTGGTGGGCGCCCGGCCCTCACCCAGACACAGACCGAACAAACAAGACACGATTCTCCTGCGCTGCACGTACCTGCGCCGTCCTCATAGAGCCACGCGACAGCATGATGGGCGACTCGAATTCGGATTAAAAAAAGGGTTGTTCAAACACCGGGAGTGTCCGCGTGAGGAGGGGAGAGTATGATCCGTCGAGGAGAGGGCGTGGGCGCGTACACTGGCAACGGCGACAACAACAACCGGGAGGGACGACGACGCGGAGGAGGAAAAAAAGAAGGGCAAGGTGAATGCGGCTCGCCGACGGTGTGGAGGAGGGTGTGGGTTAGGTAGGTAGCGCACGTCGGTGGTGGTGGTGGTCGTGGTCGTGGCAGCGACAGCAACGGCAACAGCAGCAGCAGCAGCAGCGCAATGCCCGCCGCAGATCCATCATCAATCCCGCTTGCCAGCGCCCCCAGCATGGAACGTTCCCTCTGCCCAGCCAGCAGCCCGCCAATTGCCTCACCGTTGCCCAGCTTGGGCCGAGCGGCCGCCGCAGCCATTGCCGGCGCTGGCCCCTCCAGAATTTTTTTTTTCTTCTCCTGCGCCTGGAGCTCCGGATTGGCCTCCAGGCTGTTTGGCGCTGCCGTTCGGCCGGACCGCGTCGGAAAAAGAGCGGAATGCGAACCTGCTCCGAGCCTGCCACCGCGCGCGCTAAGCCCGTCTCGGCATAATGTCCTGCCCCGACGCTCCTGCTCCACCATCAAAGAATCTGGGACAGGAAAGTCAATGCTGCAGCTTCGGCGAAGGGCTCCACGACGGTCACACAAACACGACGAGTACAAATTGGCGCTCGCCCGGCGACGCTGGCTCGCGTGCGTCCGCAAGAAGCTTTGGCTTCCAATGTGTATATCCTGCAAGACGCCAAACGGCGCCCAACAACCAATTGATCGACTCTACTCCAACGCCCCGTGGTGCACCACTTCCGTTTCCTTCCCAATCCCATTCAGCCAGTTGCCCTTGATCCGGCCCCGTCCAGTCCGGGCCGCAGCCTCCACCCGGACGGGGGCCCCTTGTCCGTCTAATAACTCTCACACATACACGGACGGGCCGCCAGTCGCCGTCGCTGCGCGTGCGTCCACGACTACAAGTTCTTGTACGAGTATGTTCTCACAATGCCTCCCGCGATACCCTCTTGGTTATCAAGCGCCCTCCTCCTCGTCTAGAGGCTCGACGCGCACCAAAATCTCCTCCAGCAGGCCCTCGAGGAAGCTGCCCACGTCGCGCCCCATGCCGACCGGCTCCGCCTTGTCGCACGTATCGATCTCCTTGCATACGTGCGCCAGCTTATACACCAGCTTGCGCAGCTTCTCGTGAGACGCCTCGGCGCGCTGCTGCCTCGCCGCCATGCCGGCCGGCGCCTGGTTTGGTCTAAACGCATATGCCTGCTGCAGCCGGGCCTGCCGCCTCTTGAGCGCCTCCTCCAGCGCCGGGAATATCACGTCGTTGAGCGCGTCCAGCTCTCCGTTGGGGTTCGCCGGCGCCGGCGACGGGAACGATGATGGACCTGCAGACGCCTCTGACGGGGCCGGCGACTGTGACTGCGGTGGCGGCGGCAGGTTCATCCCACTCAACGCCCGCTGCCCGACGGCTTGCTGTGATACCACCCGTTGCTGCGCAGGGCCCCTGTATGGCGGTATTTCAGGAATAGTCATGACCGGCGTCCGCCCACTGGGCGACCGAGACGGGGTGTTGTTGTTGTGCGGTGGCGGGATCGGCCTCTCCGATGCCATCGACATCTGTGCCGCGCCAGTTGGCGACGCCGTCGGGGTCGGCTCCAAGGCCAGGTTCAGCATTCCCATATCACGCTGTAACTGGGCCTGGAGCTCCCGGTCGTAGTCTGGAGATTGTCCTGTCGGCTGCCGTGGCAGGGGCTTGTGCGCCGCGCCTCTAGTCGGCGTCTCGGGCCCGTCCCGTGCCGCCATCTTCATCGGGCTCGCTGGGAGCGGCACCTTGGTGGGTGACGTGATGCCCGGCGCTATGGGCTTCCGCTGCGGACTCGTCTGCCGAGATGTGCCTTGGTTCGCCGCCTTCAGGGTGTCGCTTGGTTGTAAGGCAAAGTCTCGCGCCTTGGACGGGCTCGCGTCGCGTCGCCTCTCATCCGTCTCGTCTGAGCCGTCTGGCCGGCGTACAGACCGGGCATTCGTCGCGCTCTCGTCCATAGCGTTGAGCCCTGGCCGGCTGACCAGGCCGCCTCTATCGCCGACGAGCCGCACCGTGCCAAAGTCCCACATGTCCTCGTCCACCTTTTCGCGCTCCGTGGGCGCCCCGCCGTCGACCGCGTCCCAGTTGTCCTCGTCCTCGCCCTTGTGCGTCAGCGCCCAGCGGCTGTGGCGCTCAATCAGCTCGGTGAGGTACGTCGTCTTCTTGGCCTTTCTGATAAACGGGTGTCGGAGCATGTCCCGCGCCGTCGGCCGGTCCTTGGGGTCGCGCTGCAGGCAGAGCTCGACAAAGTCCTTGAAGGCCTTGGTGAAGTTGCCCTCTAGCCTGGGTGCCGGATTCTTAGGGATGAGGAAGAGCACCTTCATCGGGTGGATGTCGGCGTAGGGCGGCTCGCCGTTTGCCAGCTCCAGGGCGGTGATGCCCAGCGACCAGATGTCGGCCTTGTGATCGTAGCCGGACTGTTTGATGACCTCGGGCGCCATCCAAAATGGCGTGCCCACAAACGTGTTCTTCTTGGTCATGGTCGCCGAGAGCTGACCCGAGACGCCAAAGTCGGCCAGCTTGACCTGGCCACCAGCGCTGAGCAAGACGTTGGCCGCTGCCTTGATGTCAGTCCAACGGCCCGAAACTCAAGCACTCAAACTTACCCTTGATGTCCCTGTGCAGCTTCTTGTCCGAGTGCAAGTAGTCCAGCCCCATCAGCAGCTCCCGGACGATAATGGCAATGTAGTCTTCGCCAATGAGCCCTGGCTTCATCACGTCGGCGCAGCTGCCGCCCGCGCAAAACTCCATGACGATCCACAGCTCGGCACCCTTGGCATAGGAGCCGTAGTACTTTGTGACGTAGGGCGACTGCAGCTCCGACAGAATGGCAATCTCTTGGATAATGTCCTCGACCTCGTCCTCGGCGTTTTCGATGTCGATGATCTTGATGGCGACGGCATGGCCGGTTCGTTTGTCGACACTGCGAGCGTCAGCGCCTGCGCACGAGCACCAGGACGGTCTCGTTGGCCAGACTCACCCTTTGTAGACTTTGCCAAAGCTTCCTCCGCCTGTTCACAGAGCTCGCGTTAGCTTCGCGATGCCGCCATACCCATCAGACTGGTCCAAGCGCTCACCGATGCAATACTCCTTGGAGTAGAGCTGCTCCGGATCAAGAGCCTCGCCGCCCTCGTCCGCCTCCCTGTTCCGGTCCGCCATGGCGTTGGTGCCCTAGGAGCAACGGCATTCACTTGCCCAGCTCGACTCGTGCGTATGTATGTCAGTCACCGACGTCGTGCGGTGCCGTGAATCGCCGTCGTGCCGCGCGTGGTCGGGTTCGTCGCACAATCGGTGTGGGAAGGAGAGGATAGCTTCTTGCGGTCAGGGCGCAGGGAGCTCGACTTCGTCAATGTCTCTGGCCTCAAGCCAGGAGGAACAACAGCGCGTGTCGGAAACGTTGTCGGTCTCGCGGGTCGAGCTCTCTCACGCTGCGAGCTGCGAGGGAGCGGGATGATTCAGGTCCCCCGCCAATCGTGTCTCGTCCGAGGTGTTATGCGATGGTCTGCGGCCTCGCAAAGGGACGGTGGACCAAAGGGACAGAACTGTTACAAGACGAGGGGGTAAGCATGCATGCACGCACGGTCACGCTGCGCAGGAAGCCAAGGTGACGTCGAATCCAACGGTGCACAAAACAACAAGTGGGTGGATGGGCGTGCGTGACGACGTTGGAGGTGGTGGTGGTGGGCAGCCTTGTTTACGGGCCGTGGGGTCGGTCCCCGTCCGTTGGTCGTCGAGGGCGGATGGAGCTGGAGCGCTGGGGAGGGGCGCCTGGCATCGCCCGCGATTGATTGATGCAAGCCCTGGACGCCTGGAGCCGCCCCTGTCCGTCGGGCTGAGCTGCCCTGCCCGTCCGCCCTCCAGCTGGCCAAGCAGCGCCGGCGCGTCCCTGGCGCGAGGCGCCACAGCATCCTCCCGCCCGCTGCCAGGGCATCCGGGCATCCACCTCATCCACTGAATCCCAAACAGCCCTTGGCCTTTGGCGGTGCCCGATGTTGTCACAGCAGCCAATCAGCCCTACCTCAGCTTCGGCACCTCATGCACGTCCCGCCAGTTCCTGGGGGCGGGCTCTCCGCCCAGTGCCCGGCAACCAGTCGTCCGTCAACTGTTGTCTTGATCCAGTAAGTACCTACTATTATGTACTCGCTTGCAAGGTCCGTTTGGACGGCGATGCTGGTTGAGTGATTGGTCTCATGAGAGGTAAGTAGATATCCGCGGTGGAGATTCCGAGCCTTGGGTACCGGGCAGGTCTGGTAGTCAAGGCTGCAACAAACACACAGAAAGCGCACTGGAAGTAACTCATGCTGTTACTTCCCTGCCTAAGCCTCTATCCTCGTGGACGACGCAAAGAAACAAAGCCACCCTAGGTACAAGTCTATGAGTGCACTCGGCTCGTTGTCGAGCGCCCAACCCATCCATCATGCAAGTTCGTTGAGCAAATGCCGCCCACCAACGCAGCAAACCAAACCAGGCTCCCGTCGGTTCGGCCAAAAGGTGCCGCGCAGTCAACAACTACTATGCGTGCCGTGCCGTGCCCCGTTGTGTCCCTTCCCTTCCCTCATTCCTCGATAAATTCAATCATCACCGTTCCCTGCTTAAGGCCCGTTTCCTCAATCGTCGCGTCCAGACTCTCCGTCAGATCCTGGCCCTGCGGCATCTTCTTGAGCTCAAACTCGACGCCTTCCTTGCCCTCGAGCGGCTCCGCCTTGAGCCACTCGTAGATGCGGCGCACTGGGTCTTGTAGGCTGAACCGTCGAATCACCCGCCCGTTGGGATGCCGGAATTGGATCCGCGTCGTCGTCGCGGGGTCATTGTCGGGCTCGGTGTGCGGCTTCGTGCTCGAGATCTGCGTAAATGGATTCGCCGCCGCCGCCGGCTGCTCTACCTCCTTGCCCTTGCCCTTGTCCTCTGCGTCGCCGCTGCCGCTGGGCCCGGGAGACTTGGTGAGTGCATCCGGGTCATGGATGTTTGGCGTGGAACCCGAGCCGCTGCTCTCGCCACCCCCTGCGAGGCTGTTCTTGAGCGCCATCTCGAGCATCTCCTCCTCCGTCATGCGGTCCACATCCACGACCTGCGGTTTCCGCGTTACTGCCTTGGCCACGGGGTTCTTGCTATTCAGGTCCAGGCTGTATCGGTCCAGGAACTCTGCCAGCTCGGCGTGAAATTCGACGGCGTTGGGAAACGGCCGGCCGCTCCAGACCTTTACCTGCTCGCCTGTCCGCGGGTCGACAATGGACACGTGCGGGTAGTTGTCCGGGTTCTCGTGGGTCTGATGGGGAAAGTAAAAGGTGATGTACTCTTGCGAGTCCGGATAGTCCTTGTCGTACTGCAGAAAGATGAAGCTTTCCGAGACGAGATCGCGCACTGCGGCGTCCTTCCAAATGTCGCGGTTGAGCGCCTGGCAGTTGAAGTCGTTCATGTCCTGCAGGTTAACCAGGATCCACTTCTTGTCTTCCTTGCCCAGCGTGCGCGCCTCGTCCCACGACACACGAGCCATGAGGTCATATGGAGGGCGAAAGAGGTCCTCGAGTCTCCGAGCGTGCGGTCCGTTCTCTGCAGAGGTCCGGGGCGCGGCGCCGTCGTCTCCCCAGATCCGCTGGCCAAATGGACCGCCAGATCGTGCTTGAAAGTAAACACACGTCAGCCATGTTGTCCCCCCACGTTTTGCGGCTCCAGCACTTACTAGGCGGATGTCGGTTTCTTCTCAGTTGCTCCAGGAGCGCTGACCCCATCCCGTCGTCGTCGCCGCCACCCCACGACGGATCGGGCGCCACCAGCGTCTCCGTTGTCCGCGCGATGGGGGCACGCACGTCGTCTGCGCCAGGCCCGGCGCCGGGGCCGGAGCCCGCACCACCGCCGCCATATAGTTCCTCCTGCAGCCGCTTCGCCATGGCCGCGTCTTCCTCTTCCTGTGCCCGCGCGGCCGCAGCCGCGACAGCTGTGTCCTCATCGTCGTCGTCGTCGTCAACCTCCATAATGTCGTCGTCATCGTCGTCGCTGATGTGAATCACACCGCTTGAGTCCTCTCTTCCTATGTTGGGCCGTCCAGTTGCAGGTCGCGGCACGTCTGTACGAGCAGGCTCGCCACCCGAGATGCCGGCGCCGACGCCCGAGACCAGTTCGGGGTTTTCAAAGTAGAGGCCCACAGCTCGCTCAAAGTCGCCGCTCGCAAGCTGCAGGAACCCGCGCGCGACATCTGTGTTCGCTCCGGTGATGGAGACGAACGTCGAGATGTTGTCGTCATCCATGGCAGATTGTCGCCCGTTGCCTCGCCAGCTCTGGTGGTTGGGTGGCGGGCTCGTGTTCGTCGTCGGCAGCAGTGTTTGCTCGTTGGGGTCGCGATCTGCGGATACGCGGGAGGAACAGTTGCTCTCGGTGCTCGCACGCTCTCGGCGAGGCGGTCTTCGTTCGTAAAATGGCAGTAGTCGCGGAGGTCGGTTTGGGGGGCGGCCGTTGCCTCCCAGATGCGAAGTTTGGCAAATGCAGATATGCCCCTGGCGCTTGTCACACGGCTTGTGCGAGTCACAGCTCGGCCGGTGCCCGCAGCGGCGTGTCACTCTAGGCCCTGATTCGGGACCGATGTCTGCTGGCGGTTGCTTGTGCGACCGGCTCGCAGTCGGTTGGTTGTCGGGCGGGCCTCGATGTGGCGGAGGGGTGATGGTGAGAAGGCAGGTTGATGGAGCTTTTTGGTCACCGTCACATCACGTCCGGCAGCTGTCCAGGCGGTAGGGAATGGCAAGAAGGGCGGGCAGGCACCAGACCGCCATGACGCAACCGCGGGCAACCCGCTGTGGCGGGGTCCATCTGCCACCTCATCCCCGGGGCGGGCCCGCTAGGCCAAGGGTGTCCTCAGAAGCTCAGGGCCGCTGCTCGGGCCCGGGCACTGCTGAGCCGCTCTCGGGAACCGTGCACCGTGGGCTGGCATTCTGGCCTACCCTACACCACCTCTGATGCTCTGGTCCTTGACGTTGGCCTGCTTGAAGCTATGTAAAGCCTAGGCGTCATGAAGATATGCTGGAATTGGTTTGCCCATGTTCATTTCTGCCATCTTTCCAGTCAGCAGCCTTGATGTTCGACGATTTCAAGAAGGCCGCGCTGGAAACACGATGTGAGACATTCTTTGAGTTCCTCTGCAAATGCTGACGCCAAACATGCACCGACTACACGTCAAAAATCACAAACGTCTGACACAAGTCAATACAAGTTCATCATCGCTATGCAAAGCCTCCCTGTTGGCGCGCCTCGCGCACCTCGTCCACCACGCCCTTCCACGCTCGCTGTACATCTGCCGCCCTCTCGTCTCCCAACGCCGCCGCGATGCTTGCCTCCAGGCCGACTGGCAAGGCCGCTTGTCCGAACACGCCGCCCAGCTTTGCCTTGATCGTCGCTGACACGGCCTTCACCCGCTTCAGCCTTTGGGACTCCGTTCCAGCGTCAGCCTGGCCCAGGTCCAAGCTCTCCAGGTACCATACTAGGATGCCCTGGCCGTCAAAAGGAACGGGAGTCGAGTCGGCAGGCTTCGTCATCTTCGTCGCGTCTGCCATAACGTCGTTGACGCAGTCATACCAGACCTCCCGCTTGATGACAGAGAACTTGGGACTCGAAAGATACGCCTGCAGGTGCTTGCTGACGTCGCGGACGACAGCCCGAAAATCTGTCTTGTCGGAGCGGGCGTACCCTCGTGCAATCGCGTCCAAACCATTCCGGGCTGTCTTGTGTGTCAAATCGTCCTTTGAACCCTGCTTCGAGTCCACATCCATCTTGTCCTCGTCATTCAGCTCGTCCAGATACGGCATCGTGATGTCGGCGATGTCTGACAACATCGCCAGGTCGTCCCGTCCCCTAGCAAACTGCCATAGGCAGCGAAACGCATGGACGCGGTACTCGTCGTTGTTTCTCTTCGCCTCACGGATGGCGATTTTCTTCATCTGCGCTGCGATCTGATCGTCGCTGCGCCAGAGAGGCTGGCCGTGCTCAACAAACTTGGGGAATGCCTCGAGCAGTTTCTCCTTGCCCGCAAACGTCTTGAGTGCCAGAGTCTTGTCGAAGACCGGCCAAATGGCCTTCAAGTTTGCCTCGCCAATGGCCCCGGTCGCGTCAGTTGCCTTGGACACGTCCATCACCATTGCTGCGACAGTGAAAGCTCCTGTATGTCGCAGTCCCCACTGTGCGGTATCCAGGCAGCGTTCGATCAAGGCCACAATCTCTGGGACGTAGCGGACAACTGTGCGATTGCTGCCCGCGTGCTGGCTCCAGACCTCTTGGAACACCTTGGCAGTGTATTCGTCGGGGTCGTGCGATCCTAAGTACGAGAACGGGAGCAACTCCGTTTCTTGCGCCGCAAAGTGGTCGGGGGAGACCTTTGCCATGGACACGATAGCATCCGCAATCTTTTGCCGCCGGCTTTCGTCCTCCGCATCGAAATATGTCTTGATGCACCGCTCGCAGAACCGCACCTTGGCGGCGTCTGGGGCAGCCCGCATCATGTATGCTGCTGCGCGGGCGTAGGCTTGGCTGACCTCGTCGTTCTTGTCGAGCACCTGCTTCTCGAGCAACTGCAGAAAGCGACCAGCAACCGGTTTGATGTCGTTGAGATGCCGCGTCGCTAGAGTCGTCAGCACCCGGCTGCATCCTATCTTGGTTGGCATCCCTATGGCAGTCTTGATCGTTGCCTCCAAACGCGGTGCCAACTCGGCCATAACGTCGGCGTTAATGAAGCGAAGGGAGTTTTCGACAGCCTCGGAGATGGGCGATTGGTTTACCATCTGGGACCGCAACTTGTCGATTTGGTCACGACTATCTTCTCCGGCTCGCTGATAGTGGTAATTGATCTGCTCAGGCTCGATGGTGCTGAGCAGGCCCAGTAGCTGCGGCACCATGTCGGGGATGAAGGGGCGCAAGGCGTTGCCGCCATGCTTGGCAATCTTCAGCACGGTAATCGCAGCGAAGACTTGCACGTCTTGTACCGAGCTTTCAATGCCCTTGTCGGAGAGCAGAAACGGGAGAGCTTCCTTCATCATGGCCTGTGCCGATGCGGCGTGATTGCCCTCCTCGAGTTGCCGAACAAGACCATTGGAGAGAGCCATGCAGAGCTTGAGCGCCGCTTCCCGAACGCTCCCTTTCACATCGTCCAAGACCTTGAGGGCGGCGGTCCAGATATCCCGGTAATACTTCTCGTATTGCGGAAATGGGCGGCCTTGGATGAGATCGGATATGGCGGCGCAGCTTGCTTCTCGCACACGCCACTCGCGTCCCAGGATGGATTTCAAGAGATCTTCGATGATGGCGTCGAAATGCGCCTCGATCGTAGCGTTTGAGTCCTTGACTAGGGCCTTCCAAATGTCTTCCATGGACCGCTGCACGTTTGTGTTGGGATCGAAGCGGTATCTGTACAGCTTTGGATAGAGCTTGGGGTCGACTTCTGACTCCGAGAGGATGTTGCTAAGGCCGAATCGGCCAAAGGCGGACCTCGTGGACCAGGTCGCCGCGTTGGCTGCGAGCGACATGAACTTGTAGACTAGTCGTTGGTCGCCAACTTCGTTTGCCAGATTGACAATGTCCTTGTACGACGTGACTGAGTTGCCTTCGCCCGTGGGCAGAGCGCCCGGTTCGAAGAGTTCCGTTTCCTCGTCGACCTTGAGTTGCGTCCCGGACCCCGTGAAGGCAGACACAAGATCCTTAACCAGAGACGCCTTCAAATCCGAGTCGCCACGTTCGTACACCAAGGAAAGACCCCGAGAAGCTGTCTCCTGGACGAGCTCGTCCCTCGCGCTCAGCAGCCGCATGAACGAGGCCTGGATTTCTCGAAGCCTGGACTGCACCTGGGTCAAATGCGAGCAGTATTGGACTGCGCAAAAGAGCCAAATGCCGGAAGCTTTAAGCAAGGACGGCTTCGTGACTTTGCTGTTCTGGAGAAGCTTAGCCAGTACTGCCTCGACAACGTCCTCCCTCGCGTCAGCACGAAATTGAGTCCCACGCGCCTCGACGTCCATCGTGAGCTTGACAGCATTGGAGTCCCAGCGGGCCATGGCGGCCGTGAGAGCCTCACCAACGGTGAATTGCACTTCGACCTGCTTGATCTCGTGCAGCGCAAAGAGCTCCTCAATTATCGTACCAAGTATGCCAGGGGCTAGCCGACCCTCCGTCTTCTCGTCGGCGCCATCGGTCTCCGGTTCTACCAGGCCGACTGCAAGGCGGCCAAGAGCCGCAATTGCCTTCTCGTTCCCCTTCTTCGCCTCGGAAGATAAGGAAGTGACGACTTTCTTGAGAGAGTAGTCGCCATCCGGACTGGGCAAAGCCAGCCTTGCGGACCAGAGCTGCGAAAAGGTTTCCAATGCGGCCGTGTGCAGCGAAGAGGACCCGTTGACATCGACAACGTATTTCAGCGGGTATTCGACATCCGTGGGAAACGCACGATCGTAGTAAACGGATCGCGAGTTCAGGTATCCGAGGGCCAGCAACGCTCCTTCGGCGGCATTCGCGTCTGAGCCGACAAGACCGTCGGCGTTGGCGAACATTGAGCGCAGAGTCATGCTGCAATTGCTCACCGAGTCGTCGTCCCTGGCAGGATGAGAGGCAAGAATGCCCAGTGCCCGCGCGCCAAGAGCGCGGGTCTCCTTCTTATTCGACTTGATCAACTTCAGGAGGTTCATGCTTCCGTCCACCAGGTAGGCAATGGGACCACCGGAGCTCAGAGTCGCGACGTCGAGAAAGCAGCGAATGCACTCCTCCACGATGGGCGAGTCCTCGAGGAATGCGCCTTCAAGACAAGCCTTGAGATAGAACACGAGATACGCGCTGTCCACCATGCGGAGGTACTGCTTGACTCGCTTGCGAGTCTGAACGTCCGACTTGATCTGCGCGTCGAGCGCCTGCATCCAGTCCGGCTGGATGGTAAAGTCGTCGAGCGCGGAGAGCAGCATGATGTTCTTGCAGTATCGGAGAGCGACAGGGTACGCGGCAATTCGACTGCCTTGGAAGTTTTGAAACACGGCGTTGTGCGAAAGATTGACCGTCTTGGTGCTGCGCCGGTCTTCTGTTTCCTGATACGGCCCGATGAGCGTGTCAAAGATGGAGGTTGTCATTTCTTTCCAGTCCGGCAAGGTTGAGCGAGACTCGCTGTGGGCAAAGTACGTCCAAGGGTCCAAGCCCTTGTGACCTTGCTCGACGACGTCGCTACGCTCGTTTTGTCGCCCAGCCACGGCGAGGATGTCTATCCAGCGGCCGCAGATGTCGGCAAATGGAAGGCACTGGTTTGCCCATTTGACAACAGCGTGGCGTGTGCTTCGCACGGCGGGAGGGTCATCAGGTAGAGCCATGTATGTGAGGAGCATGGTCTTGAGAGTTTTGTCCTCGGCCCCTACTTTCGGCGGGATGATGGCCGTCAGACTGGAGAGGGCACCGTCAATGTTCACAACCGCCTCAGGCGTGGGATCTTCCGACAGAGAGCGGAACAGCCAGGCGCCCAGGTCGATGCGCTCCTGCACGGGGATGTCGGAGCTTCCCGCCAGCATCCCGATGGTTTCGTACGCTCTGGAACGGAGGTTGATATCGTCATGGGATGTCTGATTGGGCGCCGGCCAGCCTTGAGACTCTATGTAGGCGCGCATGCTGCGAATAAGGGGAGGCCCAATCGAGAACCCGGGTCTCGACGGGCCAACTCTGGCAACCCAGGACAGGTAATGGAACAAAGCCTTGTGCAACTTTGTCCTCTCGAGGGTGCTTGAGGGCTGCAGCGACGATGCGCCCGCGTTCTCAGTTTGCGGCATGAAGTCTAAAGTGACAGCGGCCATGATGCTGTCAGACATCGTCGTGGACACCGCGGACTTGGAAAGCAGAGTAAGGATTCGAGTTCGATACGAGGCAGGAAGGGTAGAATGGGACTGGAACAGGCGCGTAACCAGGGCCTCGTCTTCCATCGAAACGGATGTCCTTTTGAGAATCTCTTCTGCGGATGACGCCACGCGGTTGTCCATGCCCGCAGCAGCGAAAAGAGCTGGGAGGAACTTTTCCTCGTCCGTAAAGGCGCCGCTGGCTAGGAATGCCACAAGCTTTGCTTTTAGCTCGGAGAGCCGGACGAAAAGCTTCTCGGTGTCCGGGTTGTCGGCGGGGAAGAGCGCCGCCTCCTCGCTGGTGACTGCAGGGTTGGATGCCTGCAACCTCAGAGGGGAGCGCAATCGCAGAAAGATGCCAATGACCTTGGACAGATACTTTGCATCTTGCCCAGATTCGAGTCCTATGGCGGCTCGAAAGGCTTCGTCGTCTTTGCTCCCTCGCGGCGGTATCCGGAGGTCCAGCAGCAGCCGAAGTATGATGTTGACCATGGTTGCAGCCCGCGGCATGCCCTCATCGCGAGCACAACCCTCGAGAGCAATTGCAATGAGACCGCGTCTGTCCTCCACATCTAGTCTGTCAAGGCTGTGCTGAATAAAGGACAAGTCCAACTGCTTGATCACAGGCGAGTCGCTGGTCTTGTACTGCTGCAACAGGGCCTTGACGGGGAGGACGACCCTAGCAACATGTTAAAATTGGGAAGCCTGCGCTGGGAAAAGCTGACATACTGAGGAGGTTGGATGAATGTCTTGAGCCTGGCCAGCATTTGTATGACCTAGAAGGAATCAGCGCCATCTCAAGAGGCGAGATGGGGTATCTTCAAGAGTCAAGACATACCCGCGCCCTCACGGATGCATGTTCACTAGCCGCCTTGAGGATCAGGGGAGCGAGGTATCGTTGGAGGAGCTCATGGAGCCGGTCCTCTTTATTTGCGACGCTGAGGATCTTGAACTCGACACTCTCCACCAGCTGCATCTCCCGCTGCTCTGTTGACGAAGCCATGGTGAGGGCGGCCGCGGGGGCTCGGAGGGGCGGCAGGGATGTGGCGCAAAGGGACCATGAAGAGGGCCAAAAAATCGCAGAGCAAGGCAATGGGCAGGAAAGAAGGAGGACCGAAAGCCAAATCTATTTGTAAATGCAGCAGAGCGCCGTTGCGGTGAACGGGATACGAGGCAGGCAGCTCCTTGGTGACGATGGAGCTCCCCGTCATGCCGCCAGCCAGCAACCGTCTGACGAGTCGTGGGCCGAATTGGGGGGCGTTGCCGCATGACTAAGCCGACCAGGCACGTTCAGGGCGGGACGCACCTTGCCCAAATACGCGTACTTTCACACCATCGCGTCACGTGACGCAGATGTTGAACCTTGGGCACGGCATCTCAGTGACGAGGCACGAATGCAGATGCCCAAGGGGCTCGACAATGAGCATCATCAGGTCGAGGCATGGACAGGGTGTCCATGGTAGTGAACGATTCTCAGGGACTTGCTCAGGCCCAGGGAATGCGTTATGGTCGCGATCTTGGCTTCACGGCCATCACCGGCCCAAGGGCAACTGCTGACGACGATCCGGCGCCTTCAGCAAACTCCTCAGCATTACTTTGCACAGCCCAATATGTTCGTGTATCTGCAGGGAACGGTCTGTCTCTCGGAGAACGGGATACTCGGCCTGGTCATGACAAGGGGCCCAGATCCTTCTCTACGCGGGACGCATGGCCGCAGCAATGTTGAGCCAAGTCTTCTCCTCCGAATGATGTCAACGGCCTACAGTCTCGAATGTTCACTCTTTCCGTCGTCCCATGGACCGCTTGGGAACGGCCAGGTGATTTGAAGCTGTGCCGAGGCGAAGTCGATGACCCCCGCGGCGCAGCTCCGGCAACGTCAACGGCCGGCTACGGGACGCTCGGCAGTACAAAATAGTTACTACTCGATGCGCCCTGCCGAGTATTGGCCCAACACGGACATGTCAGAAAGCAGACGGGGAATCCTGCCGGCAAGCCCAATCACCAAGGCGGCCATCAAGTCGCGATATCGCCCTGTCCACCATGTCCAGCAAACGTCCAAAAGCCCGCCCCATGGGCCATTGCCAAGAAGAAACGTCCCGCGATCACGGTTGCTGCTCCGGAAACAACATTGGTCGCGAGTACTTTACCTTCATTCGTACTGACCGGGCGCCAACAGAGTTCACGGGCGGGAAAAGCTTTGCGAGCTAGTAGCCATTGAGCCCCGCACCGACTAGACACACGCCTCTTGACCGTGCCAAAGTACTCAGGACCTGGGAAGTGATAAGTGCTTTCGTTTCCACAGGCTTGCGGCTGACGGCAGGTTGTTGGTGCCTGCGCTACTGTATTCGTGCAGCTGTGAGGGGGGCGCATTGTTGAGCCTCCTCATGAACCTGGACGGCGCCTCTGCAAACGCGCACGACGCGGACCAGCACGGCTCCCGTCTTTGACGAGAGCGAAGCGTAAGCGTTCGTATGCTTCACGGCCAGGATCACTAGGCTTGTAGATGGAATTAGAGACTACTTGGGTGGCATTTTGACGCAGTGTTGAGGCCCGACGCCTCAGCTATGCCGAGCTCGTGAGGCCGGCCCCTTCAGCTGACGTTGCCATCAGCATGCAAGGGTCGCTTGTCGATCCCGTGCAGCGGTATCCGGCCCTGCGGGACGCGCAGGTGCAACAGGGCCCGAGTTCCTCGATCTGGTTGAAACGCTCTGTCTTGTCAAAGCTCCCGCAGCGGAAATTGGGCGCACGGATGCTGGAGGTAACACCAGGCAAGCAGCGCAGAGCCCAAACAGTACAGCGCTGTAGATGTACCCGGGCACGCAAACGCTCGCGCTGGCGACTCCGTTGGCAGAGTGGCAGAGCGGCCCGTCGTTCGCTTCGGCCTGACCAGGACGGAGCCGCTTGCTGCTGGTGGTTCGGAGACGGCATGTTGGATCCCGTAGCGCGCTGTTCTAGCGGCCCTTTGACCAAGCTCCGGCTGGCCACGACCAAGGTACAGGAATAATCTCTCACCAGGCACACGCGCGCCGCCCCTCATCAGCGTCTCCAGCGGCGTGGGAAAAGCTCCCATTTGTCGGGCCCATTGTTGGTAGCTGCTGGGTGCGCCACACGAACCCCGCGATGGATGGCTCGTGGTGGATGGCTATTGTGGTGCTTCTCGTGTCCTGCTCTGTTCTGTTTCCATGGGATTATGGTGCTTTTCGGATGCCAACAGACAACCCTGCGCGCGCCGCCTGGCAAGAGGGCCGCCGTGACGACAGGACCAAGTGGCTGTTTGATTGGGCTACGACACGGAGGCGCTCGAGGAATTGGTTGGGCTTCAGATCATAGACAATGCGCGATTGGGGTGGCTGAGGGGCCGTAACCACATGGCGAATGGAGCACCCAGCAGACCCCCAGGCGCTGGCAGCAGCAAAATTTGAGACGTGCGGAACGCGCCGACAATTGGCGGCACGGCACTTGGTTGGGCTTGGGGTATCGACGGAAGCTGAAAAGGTCGGCGGCGTTGGCCACGGTCAAGCACCTGCGGGGGAGGCATCGTCGCCATTTCACCCAAGACATGTGCCGGGGGATGGTGACGCCACAGGTAGTTGACAGCTCATTCGGCAATGACCTCACCTCACGGAAGGAGCAGTCGACAACAAGACAAACAAGGCCAGCCATTCGAGGTCGTTTGGAGCTCGTTTGTAGCTGTCACAACCGGGGGCCAAGGCTCGTCGATGCGGTGGTTGATAACCCCGCTGGGTCAAAGGGAGAAAAGCCGTGGTGACGACAGAACAACAGGGCTGCAAGGAGGCAGAGTGACGCCGACGCAGGGGCAGGCAGACCGGCCGAGACACGGGTCGAGATGGGCTTGGAGGGTTTACATGGGCGGGAGCATCTGGAAGTCGCACCGAGTTGAATGAGATGAACGAGATTGGTGAGACACGACGGATGGCATGCAAAAGACGAGTCCGCGTTGGCCGTGTCTCGCTGCATGTCTGTAGGGACGCACGTATTTTGTGATGGGACGGTCGGTACCTGCGCAACAGCAGCTGCACGACATTGGCTCGCGCAGACGCAGGCCCAGCTGCATGATGTGATGCCGAAGCCCGCCTTTGCAGGTCAGCAGAGGCAGCGTAAGTAGGTACCTTGTCGTCTCTCTTGTGATATCGCGCACGTCTGCTTCGTACGGAATGGGCGAGTTGAGGTGTCGGAAACTCTGAGAGATGCTAGCGCGAGCCGAGCTGCAACTACGTGCTTCGTACATATTTAATCGCCCTTGGTATTGCGACTATTGGCGGCTCGCTCTACGGGGCCGGATCCGTCGACAGACAGACAGACACGGGGGGCATCCCGCATGTCTCGCGTCTCCATGTGCCATCCATCCCTCGCCCTCTCTCACGGAGCGGGGGGACGGCCGCCGACGGTCGCACCACAAAACACGCCGGCTGGAATCCACGGTGTTTGCAAAGGCGAGGGGCATACGAGCATCCTGTGCTCGTACTCGCTCGGCAGGGAGGAAAGGGAGAGTGATGCCCGCGGGGCCGACGTGGAGCTGCGGTCGTCCTGGTCGTCAGTTTGCCGTCACATCGGGTGCATGATTTCACGATGCGCGTCGTTCGTAGTTCGAACGCTGCTCCTCCGGCGACAGGGGGGCCTGGGGCCAGTCAGCGGACAGAACAGCCCTGCGAGCCAGGTGAGACCCATGCAGGCGGGCTCCATCAGTGTCTTTTGCATTCCACGAGGTCCTGGACGAGCTGGGGCGGGCGAGTGGGCAGCTGGTTGCCGGCCGCCGGAGTCGCGCGTTGGAGCAGGCCAAGGTAGACTGTACCTGAGTCGTGTTAGCAGTCGTTCGAGGTCCGTTTGAGGTCGTTGCCGTTTGTTCGTTTGGCCAGGTTACGAAAGTGGCTTTGGGACTTGCCCCGAGCACTCGCTTCTGGTGCTATGCTCTGTCTCCCCTGTGTGTCGCCCCTGCTCTGTGCTCAGCGCTGTTGCAGGTACCGGCCACCGTGCTGGAGCTTCCCCCGTTCGTCCCTTGCGCAGCCTCGGCTGTCCATCCGTGTCTGGATGGTGCCCGTCGTCGAGACTCGGACCGCCGCCCTTGCCCGGCCTGTCGACTCCCGACGGGCGGGCTCCCACTGCCGGCAGCGGCCACGTTTTCTCGCCGTCGCACAACAGGGCAACTTCTTCCAGATGCATGTGCGGAAGGGACCGCCATTGCTGATGTGCACGTGTGATTCGACTGCAAGTTCTGAGGTATAGCAATGCCCTGAAAGCGCGAGGTAGTACCTATCCGGTAAAGTTCTAGGAAGCAGGCGCCAGAAGCCCACGGGAGAGCTCTGGCAGCTGCCCCCAGGCCGACGGTTGCACCTCCAAGACCTCAGGCACCCTCCTGGACGGGAGTCCTGGAACACAGCCCAGCGCTGAAGCCAGGCCGACTCCGCCAGGCGTCTCTCAGCAGGGGCACGGCACGGGCGCCTCACCTCAGCAGGCCGCCTCAGTAGCCCATGGAGCGCAGGGCTGCAGGTGGGCTGCTCAAGGGAGAGACAGCTCGGGCAGCACTGTTGCTTGGCGTCCAGCGGCCCCGTCGTGACCCAACCCGATCATGGATGCTGCAAACGGCCCAAGCGAGGCCGGGGTGTCCCCTGGGCAGTCGCCGGCGTCTTCGGTGTAGGTACGGGTCTCAAGACCACGAAGTAAGTTCCGGAGTACCCAGCACAGTCTCGGGCTCCAGCTCTGGTTCCTGGATTCTGTTATGCCGGTTGTGCTCGCTGGGCATAGATCTCGGCGGGTCTTGTCCTGTGCTGTGGGTAGCGGGGATGTCTGTGCCTCAAGACATCAACACCAAGTCCAGGGGCATCTCTCGACTGGACCTTCAGAGGCCCGCTGGCGACATTTCGCGTTCCCTTGTAGCGCATCATGGCCGGCTCAGCGGGGCCGAGTTTGCTGAGGGAAGGAAGCGAGCAGCTACCAGTTGCCCTGCCAAGCTGTGCTGTCGTCCCTGGCACACCACAGGGCAGTTCAAGGATGGAGCTCGCCAGGCAGGTACATCCCTCGGGTGGCGAGCCTGCTGGAGGAAGGCACTGCCCTGGCGCATCCATCGATTCGTCCAGCGCCAGTTCCTCAACCTCGTCCACGGTTTTACTGCGCCCACGCCACTCCTCCACATCTCCTCACCCACCAGCTGCTCCCCACTCGTCCACCGGCTTCACACCCATCCTTGCCATCGTCGGTCGCTTCTGCCCATTGCCCAGCAGTGACCACCACCTCCCCCAGCCGAACGAGTCCGAACACGCCTGTGCACGCACGCCATCGTCCGGCTATCGAACAGCCCGCCCACCGGCCTGGATTGACCTGTCTGTACCAGGCCAGCGCGAGCACGCCCGGCGCTGTCCATCGCGAGTCCCCTCCACGCCGTGTGAAGGTGGTCCTCGTCGCCGTCGCCGCCGCCGCCGCGAGTCCTTCGTACGAGTACATACTGCCCTCGTCGTCCGCTCGCGTAGCTTTCCTCCTCCTCGCTCCGGCATCATCGTTGTTTCGCTTGATCACGTCGAGGATTTCTTTGGTCGTTTTGCCCTCCAGAGCAGTCCTTTTTTCGTCTTTTTGGCTTGCCCCTGGTCGCAGGAGCAACCTCGCAGCCCCCGGGCGCTGACCTACTGATACCTTGCCGTACCTGCGTTCCTGTACATGGCCGACTAGTACCGCGTGCACTGCGACTCATCACCGTGTCGACGCTCGTCCGCGCCCTGTTTCGACAGCATCCGATCTCGATACCGACGAGCGGCAGTTTCAGCGCATCAGCCCCCTGGCCGTCAGCACTTCGACGACGCAGCGTCCTGCCCCGTCCGTACCCGCACCGGTGCTTGTACATCGACGAGTACCTTTCGGCGTTGCCTTGCCGTCTGCAAACAACGTCGGGCCCGCGCAACGGAGACATCGAGGCGTCGCTCTGCCTGTCTGCCTGCCTCATCGGACATCGATTTGTTTGTGCGTGTTTCACCAAAGACAATCCCCCAAAAGCAATGCCCATGTCCACGCCCGCCGGCTTGACTGGATACCGGGACTGGGCGCCCAGCTGGAGGCATTGGCGCAGCATCGTGACCCCGACTGACGCCCACCCGCAGGACGCGATCCCTCCCTCCACCAGCCCAAGGAGGAGCCCACCCACCACACCAACCCAGCCATCGCACGCCAATCCAAACCCAAACTACTGGCCCAAAGATCGAAGATCCTTGGCCGCGGAAGAGACACGCCCCCCCTCCACCCCCTGCCCAGCCCGCCTGCCTGCCTGCCTGCCTGCCCGCCCGCCTGGCCTGGCCTGGTGGACAATTTTCCCCTGCCTTCGCCTAATCCTGATCCCCGCGCGACCCGGCGGCCCAGGCTGTGCAAGAGACTTTCGTGTCCAACGAGAGGGCCACAGCAAGCACCTAGCACGAGTCGTCAGAAAAAAAGCTCGTTCCGTCTCTCCGCTGTCCCACGACCTTTTTTCCCTTTCCCTTTCCTCCCTCACCTCACAATCCCATCACCCTTTCACGGCTCTTCCTTTGCGCGTGTTTCGGACATTGGCTGAGAGAGTTACGGTTGGTTTTGCCGGCGCCTAAAAGTGAGTTGAAGCGTTCCCCATCCCCTTCCGCTGATTCCTCGCGTTGCCCTTGCCCTATCTCGTGGTTCTCCGGTCTCCCGGTGCGCATCCCGCGCCCTGTGTGCGGCCCTGCCCGCCTGGCCTGCACCACCCCTCCGGATGGGATCCTTCCTCGACCGACTGCGACCCCTCCGTGGACGACAACGCGACTTCGACGACTTCGATGACTTCGACGCCATGGCCATCGAGCCGGTCCATCGCGTGCGCGCGCGCAATTCGCACCGATCCGACGAGCCGCGGCATGCTCCGGGTGCCCAAGCGGCAGCTTCGAGGGTCGTCGCCGTGTATCCCGACCCAAGCCACATTCTGCGACGCCATGCACCCTTTTGGGCTGCAGTTGGCCAGCGATGCGGTGTGTCCTGCGACTCGGTCGGGCGCGCTTTGGTTGCGCTGTCTCTTGGGTCTCGCGTGCCGACAGCGCCACGTGTGCAGCGTCGGGCGCGGTGCGCCGTCAAGATTCGAGTTGCAGCTGCTAGCGGCGGCGCATACTCTCTTCCACGATGAGAAGCGTCTCGATGGCTCCATCTATTGCGCTCATGCCGACTTCCGCGGACCCATCGACGGTGGTCTCACACGCGGTGCCCCCGATCCGGCTTGAGGGACCCTCCGGCCTCGCAGGCGAGCTCGCTTGACCGCAGCCGACGCGACGACACCACGCGCACATGTCACGACATGTACGAGAACTTGATTGGACATCATCCCCCACACTTGAATGGCCGACGGCACAGAAAACCGCACGGATGGACATGCGCGACGGCGCGCACCGACGTCGAGGCCATTCACGCACACCTGGAATCGCGGTGTACTCTGGAATGGTGCTGTCAATGGCTATGCCATCCTGCGCGCCTGCGGACTCTACGAACACCGCCTGGTATGGCAACTTGCCGTCGCAACGAGGATCGTGGCGATACCAACCCGGCTGGCCAGCCAAGGGGACCCTGCGCCGTTCCTCAGCTGCGACTGCGAAGACTCGACCAAGCTGCGCGACCAGGACTATCTCGGAGACCGGGCCACGAGCGGGCATGGGAATTCATGCCACTGCTTCCGTGCTAACCGTCCAAGCAGGTTGTGATTTCAGAGCGTTTCAGCTGTACAACCACGATCCTTCGGAATCTCTGGTAACGCGTGCGTTCCGTTCACGAATCTCCAACGACCTCCCGCGTCGAACGTCAGCTTCGGTCAGCTCTCGGGCACTGTTGCTACGTCTCTCCCGCAGGAATCTTCAAACGCATTCGCTTGCAGCTCCAAACGCGGCGTGTCGGTGTCTTGACAGAATTCTTGTCTTTCGACTACTTCTCGGAGTCTCGGCACTAGGTCTGGATACCAGCCTTTCTCGATTCGTTCCCGATTCCCGTTTCCATACGACCGCTCAGCATCCTTTTTGGGGCTTCTACTGCGTCGAATAGGTGAGAAGACCTGCCGCGATGCGCCATTTGATATCAGCTAACAGGTGTAGACTGTATAGCGATAACATTGTCGTTAACGGTTTCTCATTTCTATCCACTCTTTGGTACGTTGCCTGCAACCCTGGACGGTGTGCGGACGTGGATGTGGGGCCGTTGCCATAGGAGGGCATTGTTCGATCCGAACCGGTCAAGTGAATCAGGCTGTCCATTACGACCGGCAGCAGGTGGCGGCGCACTCTGCATGGGAGCCCCCAGCGTTCACTGTCGCCTCCGGATCAGGGATTGCCCGGTCCCATGGGGCTAGGAAACATGGCTAACTTCTCTCTGTTCCAGCGTCTGAAGATCTCTTCTCTCAGAACTTCCGTCGACGACTTCTTTCGGCAAGAACCGCTTCAACCTTACGCGCAACTTCAGTAACGTCTTCAAACGACTTTCAAGTTCCACGCAGCCAAAATGTCTTTCCCGAACGGAACCCCTCCTGCCACCGACATGTCGGCTGTGCCCCCTCCTCCTGGCGGCCCGGAGCAGCCCAAGACGACTCTCTGGTTGGTGTTTCCCCCCGGGTATTTGTCGCCCGTGACTAACGGTGCGAAAGGATGGGTGAGCTTGAGCCTTGGATGGACGAGAACTTCATCAAGGGTGTTTTCCTCTCCGCCGCCGGCGAGACTGTCAACGTCAAGGTCATCCGCGATAAGAACTCCGGGTAAGCTGGCACTATCGAGCCACCGCATTGCTGGGCTTGGTTTGCTAATCTCTGCTGCAGTAACGCTGGCTACTGCTTCGTGGAGTTCACCACTCCTGATGCGGCCACCAAGGCCCTGGGACTTAACGGCACCCCCGTTCCCAACAGCTCCCGTCAGTTCAAGCTGAACTGGGCTTCTGGTGGCGGACTGGTTGACCGCCGGTAAGCTCGGTCCGTTTGGGAAGGGGATTCAATCATGATGCTGACAAGGCTCGATGCAGTGACGACCGCGGCCCTGAGTACAGCATTTTCGTCGGCGATCTCGGCCCCGAGGTCAACGAGTACGTCCTGGTTTCACTCTTCCAGGCTCGCTTCCCGTCGTGCAAGTCTGCCAAGATCATGACGGACGCCATGTCTGGCCAGAGCCGCGGCTATGGCTTCGTCCGCTTCTCCGACGAGAATGACCAGCAGCGCGCCCTCGTCGAGATGCAGGGTGTGTACTGCGGCAACAGGCCCATGAGAATCTCGACCGCCACGCCCAAGAACCGGTATGTGCCAGCTGCTGTGCCCGATCTGATTCCTGTTCTAACTGCTCCCAGTGGCAACCACGGATTCGGCGGCCACGGCCAGCAGGGCGGCCCCATGATGGGCGGCGGCATGCCTCAGCAGCAGATGTGGGGTGGTATGGGCGGTTTCTCTCCCTATGGTGGCTATAACCCAGCCACCCAGATGAACCAGTTCACGGATCCCAACAACACCACCGTCTTTGTCGGTGGCCTGTCCGGCTACGTTACCGAGGACGAGCTCCGATCCTTCTTCCAGGGCTTCGGCGAGATTACCTACGTCAAGATCCCCCCTGGCAAGGGCTGCGGCTTCGTCCAGTTCGTCCACCGCCACGCCGCCGAGATGGCCATCAACCAGATGCAGGGCTACCCCATCGGCAACTCTCGCGTGCGCCTCAGCTGGGGCCGATCCCAGAACAACTCGGGCGTTGGTACTCCCTACCGCCCGGCGCCTCCTCCGCCTCACTACATGGGCATGCCCGGCCAGCCCGGCCCCGGTCCCTATGGCCCCCAGCACTTTGGCGGCCCTGCTCCCGGCCTCCAGGGTCCCCCGGGCCCCCCTGGCCCTGGCCAGCCCGGCCCGCCGCAGGTAAGCTGAAGACGAAGCAGATGGCGGATCGAGTGCGTGCTAACGTGTGTCAGTAAATGATGATCCTGCATTGACTTGTTGACGACCGGCTGGACCATTCAGACCCGAGCAAACGCTGGGGGGTTCGTTTTGATGTTCTTTGGTTCGTGGCGACCTTCCACCTTTGGGAGGGCATTCGCCTGGTGAGACGTTGAGGCGTTGGGGCTGAATCCTATCATCGACACGTCGGATGACATTTTTCAACATTGCTCTGCACGGCTCTATGAACGCTCTCGATTTTTTCCCGAGTCTCGATTACGACCGGCGTTGGAGATTTTAGTCCTCCGGTGGATGGTCAGCAGTCAATTTTACAGTTTACTTGCTTTAGCTCGTTTGCTTCTTTCCTTGTGCATGCTCGGTCATTTTCGGATTTCTATACTCGCGCTGGTGATGATTGCTCGTACCTTCGTTTGGGCTGCTCTGGGGGAACTATGTTCTGTCCCAGTCCGTATGTCGCTCCCGACATTTCCTTCGGTCGACGGCACGCTTGGCCACTTGAGTTGATTGGACCTCTGATCCGTTCCGTTCTTTCTAGCAAGCAGGTCTGTCGTCATCCTCGACGTTATTGCGTTGTCTTTCTATTCCTTCGCCTAAGTCTAATGTATTTCTATCATCATGGCGTGTGCTACATCAACAGCGAGCCTAGTCTTTCCTTTATATGTACATCATCCCATGTACCGCTTGCTTGCGTTTTGGGCCGCTCTCCGTGTACGAATAGGTTGTCTTTGGATAGGGCTATATGGCTGTTACTTGGAGCAGGATTGGCGTCGCTCGTTTGGCCTGTACGTCAGTGTTGGGGACGACATGGGGCCCCGTCGTGAAGGGGGCCGGGCTGGGCGTTGGAGTTGCTAGGTGTCTGGGTGTGCGGGAGGGCGGTCTGTTGCGTTTCTTTTCCTGTCGATGGGATATCATGAATCGATGCGCCTTTTTCTCATTCCTTTCGTTCTTTCATTATCTCTTTTCTTTCTGGGTCTGTCGTTTCTTTTGGGTCAAGAACAGAACGGTCTGTTTCGTGTGTCTAGGCGTTGAAGTTGGTACAGACTGGAATGATGGATGAAGAATGGAGAATGAAGAATGAAGAAGCTCAAGAACGAAACAAGAATGGCAGAAAGAGCAATCAATGGACGCATGGGGCAGAGGCCAGGCGTTTTCATGGCCGCGCGACGCGGTCGTTGTCCTGCGGGTCCGGGGAGGTTCTTCCGCCGCACGATGGGCGGCAGGCACTTGGAGTCGCACCGTCTGGTATTACCGCCGCGGGCGTTTTTGGTTTGTTTCGTTTCCCCTTGCAAGACTACATGTAGTAGAGATTGTATAGCAATGGGATTGTGATGGTCGAATATTCTTGATGGCGAGGGCTGTGGGTTTGCTGTGATGTGATGGTTCCAGTGTCGCGTGGTGGCTGGCGGCAGGGCGGGTGGGGGTCTCTGCAGCAGGCTGGCTCTGGCGAGGCACGCACTGCGGTCGTGAATGTGAAAGAGGGAGAGAGAGAGAGGCGACGTTCTCTGGGTCGGGTTCTGGGGGCATGGGTATATATATGATCGAGGACAGCGAGCTGTGAATGTCGAGTCGAGTGTTGTGTGAGGAGGAGGGGAGGGCGGCAGGGGCGCACAAGGCGTGGCAGCGAGAATAGGGGACCGCGTCCTCTTCGGCCAGAGCGAGATTTATGGAATCAGATCCTTGCTCAGAGGATAGCGCGTTCTTCGCGGTCTTGAGGGCCGTTTATCGATAAATATCTCGCAAAGAAAGGGCTGCGTCCGTCGAAAGGCAGGCTGCGAGCCATACCTGGGGCTCGCGATAGGGTGTCGGCATCAAAGGGGGACGTCCGGGCGTGATGGCGACTATCATCTGAGCGAGGCCATCAGGTCCGGGAGTGTGAGGAGCCTGCACCATATGCGATGGCTGATGATCTGCTTGCATGAGATTGCGGTGCTGCTGAGCGAGGGTCTGTTGTTTGTGTTCGGTGGCCGGCACGCCCCCCCTCCAACTGCCGTAGGGAGCAACCGCCACAGATTCACAATATGATCCTCTGGCGCGACAGCCGCCGCAAACACTCCATGCTCAAGATACCAAAGGGCCATCTGTTGCGAATTGAGAGATGACTCCTTGTCTGCCACCTATGCTTGGTCCGTGGTGACCCAGTTCACAACAGCCCGTCCACGGCGCTCTTTCGTGTCTCCCACGGGGGTCCGACACCCAACTCCCAGGGATGTACTGCAAGAGCTGCAATCATGGGGACAGAATGCATCGACACGTACTCGTTGAGTACGCTTGGCGTGTTGCTCTACCACCACCTCGTAGTGGGAGTGTTCGGCAGCGGTGCAAACATGGTGCTCTACGCCCAACTCCGAACAGTCCTACCCTACACACCCGCAGATGAGGAAAACAATGTTGGAGAGCGCTCAGCACTGCTGAAAATGGAACATCGATTGCGCTCTCAGTTGCATTGGGCTGTAGTGTGAATTTCAGGCACTTGGATCTTTACATAGGGGCTGCAGAGCTGCGTCAGGGGCTGCTCAAATTACGCGTGGAAGCTGGTACTCCATGAAGAATGGTGGGCAGCGGAATACATCGCTTACGGGGGAAAGCACCGGTACAGCGCTCAAAGGAAGACTGGCAGAGACGTGCGTGGGAGAGTGATTTGCGATGTCAAGCCCATCTGCTTTGCTCATGGAATCGGCGTGTTCACCCGCAACGAACCCGACTCGCATGGTGCTACAATGCCCCAAGCAGGCCTTCAGACGAGCTATCTCTAGCAAAATATGTTCTTCTTCGTGTTTTGGTCTCCGTTTGTCCCATGCCGATCTGCGTTACCTCGTAGGTAAACGTGCCAAACAAACCCACACGCGTCTCGTTCGATGCTGCTACCCGATGCCAGTCCAGCCGTCATCTCCTTCGTCATAAGATCTCGCATCATTCTAGACCGTCCAACGCCCTTAAATGGAATTCTCAGAAAGATCCAAGAGTACAACATACGGCCAAAGCCAGCCACTGAACATGTTGGCCGCTGTTGTTGTGGCGCGTCCGGGCATGGCCGAGGGGAAAATGGATTTCGGAGCAAGGGCGACGAGCTTTAGCGAATGCGAGCCAAATCACCAATAGGAACGAGGGAGCGAGAAAGGAACGTTCTGGAACACTGTTCTGCCTACGGTCGGATGCGTTTGGGATTCTCCAGCACGGTGACGCGGGTGAAGCTGGCGGCTGTCCTTGGGACGAACCGCAATCTCGGCGCAGCCAGGCACGACCCCCGGGTCCCCCGCCGCTTATCACTTCTCAGTGTTTCTCGCGAGGAAGACAAATCCGTAGCTGGCGGTTCTTGCGGTGTTTCTCGGGCTTGGATAGCTATTCACCTGTAGTGCTTTGCATGGGAGACACACCCGGCTCGGTTGGGGGTGGCAGCAAATGACGGAAGCCTGCACACCACCGCGGCAACTTGCAGCTCGAAATCACCCGGTCAGTCGATGAGATTCTTGGTGTTCCTCTCGGCCGTATTGTAGGTTAATTTCTGAGATAAATCCGGCGTTTGTGTGGCCAGCTGGTGGGCGTCACGCGGCTGCGCCAGCGACGGAGCTGAGGCGCCGCCTGCCCCCCCCCCCCCTTCTGAGCCGCTGATGGGCCAAACGTTTGGAGGCAACATGGGTTCCAAAAAGCTCCTTGCATCAATTCGAAATCATTCTGTTAAGTTCCGTACTTTGCGATGATAATTCCAAGGCTCGATTGGGGGAGGGTAACGCATTCCGCTTGTCGCACAATTGAACAGCTGTGAGCGCTGGCCCCTGGTCGCCACCCCTGGAACCTGGCACCTGGCACCTGGCACCTGGCAGTGGGCACCACCCACACCCGCCGCCCATCGCCACGTTTCGTCGCTTCCCCCGTGCCACCAGACAAGACACCGCTGCCAAAATGCTCGTCGCAGCACGCCGTTTCGCTGCAGCTTTAATTTTACGATTCTCTCTTCGGGCCGCTTCCTCGACTCGACGTGTCGAATGACCGCAACTTCGTTTGATTTCTGCCCACGAGCGCGCTGCCCAGCGACCCCGGCCGAGGCACCAGAAATCGACCGCCGACGTCCTGAATCGTATTGCCAACTTTCTCGGGCGAAACCGAGCCGCGGGTCGCCAGGCCCGGCGTTAATAGGCCATGGGCGTTAGACACGCCGTGTCTTCCTCTGACGGGGGTCATGGCAATACTAGGCTACTAAGCGTTCTCGCAGATCATGGAGCAAGGCTTGCGCTCGACACCCCTGAACGAGCCCCGGCGCCTCACGAAAGACTATGAGCACCTCTCGATCCACGAATTGTGCTTCACTCTTCGCAGTCCCTGTGTCAAGACATCAACGAGCCTTGCCTTCGCCAGCTGCGGGCCGAACACCCAGACCTTGCGGCGGCACACCGGGGTCTGCAAGCTTACTGCAGCGGTGACATGACACTCAACAAGCAGCCAAGCATCTCTGGACATAGACGGTGTCGGGCTGGAAGAGCAGTAGGAAATCGAGACGGGGGATCCGGCGCGAGGCATACTCGATTTCTATTGCGTTCGGGTTCCCCCTCTCTCATCCACATGTAGCGCTCAGCGCCGCCCAGCGCCGCCCGGGCTCCTTTATCTTCGCCCTCGTGAAGACGAAACCGCCATATCGATGATTCTGTATGTATCTACGTAGCAGGGCTGGGAATGTATAATGCCACCTTACTCCAGACTATGATGTTCCTCAACGCTGCGTAGACTGAGCACAAACCAGCCCATGGCACGCATCCCGTTCCTGGGCCTTTGCCATTGTGCCTTCGTCTACTTAGTAGATACCCGAAGGTGGTATCTATAGTATAGCCATGGCATTGGGCGGGGAGCCAATAAGGCAAGGATGGTTCAATGGAATCGACGTGAGCATAAACGAGTATCGCTTCCTCTTGGCGCAGTACTCGGACAGCTTGCTCAAGTCCCACAATTCCCCAATGGACATGCCAAACAGGCTCAGCATATAGTGATGGAGGACTGTGGAATAAACTGTTAGCCAATGATCGCCTGGAGTAGGATATGCAAGGTTACAAACATAAGTCTTCCAGGCCGCCGTCGGTGCCGTCAGCCTTGAGAGGAGGGAATGCTTCGAGAGCCATCGAATCAGAAGCTATCGCGGCGAAACGCTTATTCCAGATCCAACGCGCCGTCTCGACGCAGCCGTGTAGGCCGCTCATGCGTTGCGCTTGCATCATCTGCAGATCCTCGGGCGTCGGGGCGGCAATGACATCGGTCGCACCCGTACGCACGAGAAGCACGTCGCCATAGCGAAACTCGACGCCGAAATGTCCCGCACAGGCCTCGAGCTGCTCGACCGTCAGTCGGTCTCCTCCCCAAGCGTGGAAGGAGAGGCCCGTCTCCTCGGCGTAGCGTTTGTAGTCCAGAAGAACGCCGCGAGCGGCAAGTCCACCGTGCTCGTGCCAGTGGTCGAGTGTCGGCTGGGTATTCTCAGCGGTGGTCTCGGCGGAGAGGTTTTCCTTGGTTGGCTTGTTGCCGTTGTAGGCGAGGCCTGAGGGGAGGTGTTGGACGTGGCAGAGGCTGTCCCATTGACTGCTACTTTGTGTGTTGAAGGACAGCTCATCGTCCCACGATGGCGCGTCGGGGGGGACGCCACCGGCCATGGACTCGGGGAGGTACAGCACATTGTGCTTCGTAGGATTGCGGCCGGGAATGCCGAGCTTGGACAAGCCATTGAGAGGCCAGCTATGCGATAATTAGCTAGAGGCACCACGAGAGTATTTAGCTGCAGACAAACAAGGGAAAGAGGAAAGGTGGTTCCGTACTTCAGAGAAATGGACATTCCATCCTTGACCTCGCCGGCCGCAGATCTGACAATTTCCGGCGTCAAGAAGTTGAGTGTGCCCACGAGATCCTTCTTGCCGTCCTGGTCAAAAATACCCCAAGCACAGCCCTGCGGCATGTCCTTGACCTTGGGCAGGTCATCGAAATCCGGAACGGAGCTTGGGGCGACGGGCATGGTGGTCAGTTGTGGGCGCAGGGTGATGTTTGCGACACGGAAAGTTGCAGTCGGCGGTTTGCACAGAAATGTTTTGCACAACGTCCGAGCGCGAGAAATTGAACGAGCAACGTTAAACCGTGGCGAGCGTTGTCTTCTTGTGTTATATGTAGAATCTAGACTGCATTGAGCCCATCCCGAGAGTATGGGGCTATTCCCTGTCAACCTGGCACTGCCCGCCCATGACGGAATGCGGTGGGGACTGGGGCTTTTGCATGTGGGCTTGGACCGAACATTGTATCCCCCCTCTTAGCGTCGATGCGGAACGGCAGCTGGCGTGTCCAGGTCGTACAGAGAAACTACTACCCAGGCAGGTAGGAGCCGCAGCTGACGCCAGGCGACATCTCTCGCGAGCAGCCTCATATTGCCATGGTACCACCTTAATCTACAAATCCCTTTCAAATCTAACTCGAGGCAGAAGAGATATACTATTTAGACATCACCCCTTTACTATTCAGACATTAACTCCTTTATACTAAAGGCCCGCTAAGCTACCTAGCCGCGCGGCAGACCAGGGTCTATCATATAAACTAGCTATAGACCCCTAGCGTACCTAGAAATAATAGTATATAGTCTACCTCGCTATATAGTCTATCGTAGCTTTATTTTCTGCCTATTATATAATATAAGGCTACTCTCGATACTATAAGCAGTTAACGGTAAGACTAATAATAACCCCTACCTCCCCGTCGGCTAGATCGGGCCGCTAATAAGAATAGATATATACCCCTTAATATACCGCCGTAACGATATCTACCTTATATCTACGTAAGGATAATACGGTCGGCCTTATAGCGTATCGATATCTCGATAAAGCTATCGTTAACGACTAACCTCTATATAATATAGTATAATATGAATAAGTATAGGGATAAAGAGACTATTAACTACTAATTAATATTAATACTAATATATAAGAAGGTTATATATTTAAGGAGGCGAGCTTATATAAGATAGCTATAGCTTAAGGCATTATATATTAAGACTATTATATAGCTTATATAACTATACGATATAGAGTTTAAAGCCTAGCTCTTATACCGTCCTTAATGCCTCGCGACTTAAGCTTCTTAATATCTCTAAAATCGCGCATTAATATAGTAACGTTAAAGATACCTTCGTTCTTTACCGGGGCAGGCGGTTTACCTTCTCTACCGCTACTATTACTACTATATCGCCTATTATTACGCTCTCGCTATAACATTAAGTAATAATAATAGTATATATAATCGTAACCGTAACCGTAACTATAACCGTAATAGCCGCTACCGCTATAGCTTCGTCTTTTCCTATAACCCCTACTATAGCTCTTACTACCCCGACTATATATACTAGCTATACTACGTTTCTATCTCCTATTGCCGCTACGTTAAGGGCTTAAAGAGATCTCGTTATAAGTCTAGCCTTAGGCTTAGCATAAGAACTCAATCTTATAGAGTTAAGACGAGCTGCCTCTACTCCTTATATAGCTATACCTATCTTTATATTTCTATTACGAGCCGCTACTATATTAAGATACCGATATAGATTTCCGTTATCGTAATATCGAGCCCTTACCGCTACCGCTAGGACTACTACCGATAAGGCCCTTACTGCCGCTATTAATACCTTTACTATCGTTAGAATAGCTACGATAAGGATATAAATAGATTTAGGGTTATCTAGACTAATAGAGGATCTTTAGATAATAGCTAGGTATAAAGTATAGGTAAGCATAACGCTAAGGGTCTATAAGAATATAGGTTAAACTTTATATTACTAGACTTATTATATAATTATTAATTAAACTTTTCTCTAAGTAATTTAGATTATAGGTATTATAGTAATTATATAAGATAAGACTAGAATTATAGATAGGTAGGTTAAGTATAAAGTAATAAAAGAGGTAAGTAATTAATATATTAACTATATTAAGTATATTAAGTAATAATTATAGTAAGTAATATAGATAATATTAGCCTTCTATAAGGTAGAGGTAGTATTATTATGACTAGGCTTTTCTAAGCGGCTAATAATATTAGCTAGTTTAACGTTAAGATAATCGATCTAATAGCTAACCCTTTTAAGACGCCTCTTAACTCGCCTCTATAGATTAACTTAATTAGCATCTTTAATACTATATTTAATGCTTTATCTTCTTCTCTACCTAACATATACGATCTACTTACTTATTAGACCGTTATTCTTAAATCTATTACTATTAATGAGTCTAGAGTTATCCTTAAAATTAATATTAATAACGATTTAATCCCTAAATCTAATGCCGCTATTAAGTCTATCCCTAAATATTACGCTATTAATAAATATAATATTATATATATTATATATAAAGCCGACGATAAGGCAATTAATATAGAGCCTACTAACGAGGAGCCTATTATAGATATTATTAATAATAAGGATCCCTTTACTAACGACCCTCTCTTTAACGAACTTACTGCCGATAAACCTATTGCCGACGAACCTATTACTAACGAACTTATTACCGACGAACTTATTACCGACGAACTTACTATTAACGAACCTATTACTAACGAACTTACTACCGATAATATTATTAATAAGGATCCTTTTACTAATAACTCTATTACTAATAATAAGCCTCCTATAGATAATATTACTAACGGCAAGGCACTAGCTATTATAATCGATTCGGACTATACTATAAAGACGATCTTACTTCCGTTAATATTATCGCTTCTTTTCGATATATATATCGATATAATCGATTACCTATAGGGCTTTTATCGCGATAACGGTATAGGCATTATTATTAGATCTAGCCGAGGCTTATATACCTTTATATATAATACGATAGCTATAGATATCCGCTTTATCTATAATCGTAGTAAAGAGTATATCTCTATTAATACTAAGGTCTAAAGACTAGTATCGTAATGCATTAACTACTTATATATTATTATCTATAAGGCTAACGAAGTAATAAGCTAGAAGTAGTACTATTATATCCTTTATAGCTAGTATAACTATAGACTATTACTTAATCTATTAGCTTATAATATCTATTATCGGCAGACTATAAAATAGAAGCTTATAGAGTAAGATCTTATAAGGACGGCTATAATTACTATATAGGCTATAAGTATATATATTTATAACTATTTAAAGTATAACGAGCTATATAAGATATATTTCTAAATCTAGGATATCTATAATAACTATTAAGGAATAAAATTACGGATTCTTAATAGCCTAACGGTAGCTTAGGTATTTATTTAGATGCTTTAAGGTATGCTAGACTTATTAAGGCTTAAGTACTTTATTAAGTATAACGATAAGTAGCGTATTAAAGCTATTATATAGATATACCCTTAATATAAAGAGATATAAAAGAAGTTCCTTAAGGTCCTTAGCTTCGATAATATATATAATACGAATCGGTATAAGCTATACCTATTTTAAGTTATTAAGGTAATAAACTAGCGTAGTCTTATTAATTTCGCTTTTAGCCTTATTAATATTAAGAAAGAAAAGGGCTATTAATAGCTCTATTAATAGCTAAATACTATCTATAAGATAATTAAAGCGCTAGAGCTAGGGGTAGTTATTATAGATAAAGAGGCCGCCTTAAAAACGCCCTTTAAGACCTTTTACCCTAGTTATAGTAATAGCTCTATATCTTCTATATTAATATAAACGTTAAGGTAAGGATCTATAGGCGTTTTAAGGGCGATAATAGCTCCTCTTCTAACCGCGACTTTAATAGCGACTCTAATAGCGACTTTAATAGCGACTCTAATAGCTCTAATACTACTTCTAATCGTATTAATATAGCTCTCTTTCTCGAGGAAGTAGATCGAGGATTTATACTATTACTAGCCGATAAGCTTATATAGATAGCTAATAGGATATATAATACCTAGAAGCGGGTTATCTTTACTTATACTAAAGATAACTTTATAGCTATATAAATAGCTATAAAAGAGGCATACTTATCTCGCTAGCGTAATATCCTTTAATATATTACTAAAGAATATATGCTCTTATAAGAGTAGTAAGTAAAGTACTATATTAATAGGTATCGTAATTTTAGCTAATGCGTTAATAGCTTAATAGAAAGTTCCTATAAGACTATTAAGACTTATATTTAGTTTAGTAAAGTAAACCTCTTTTATATCTTCGAGGTAATTACTTTAATAGTCGAAGATCGCTAGCTTAAGTATATTTAAGTAGCTACGAAAATAGGGATAAAGCTTTAAAAGCATTATAGTAAGCGGGAATAGCTTAGGAATATTAATAATATAGTTTCATATAACGCTATATAATTAATCTACTCTTAATACTATTAGCTATTAAGGAATTAAGCTAGCCGACGGCTATAGACCTTACTAAAGTATATAGGCACCTTTACGAACTAATATAGCTTACTATATATATACGTTATCGAGTAGCGGCTTACCTCTAAGATAACTCTTAAAAAAGCAGACGTAATCCCCCGTTAGTAGCTTAAGAAGCCCCTATATATAGATCAGCTGCTTCTTAATATTTAGGAACCTATAATAGTATAGTCCTTTCGCGGTTAGCTAAGAGGAGCCTAGAATAGTAATATTCTACTGCCTTCTATACTTTAAATCCTAACTAAGACTTCTAGTCTATAATTAAATATATAGTAGTTATCGTAATGCTATTAGTAATAGAGTAATTAATGCCGTTAGCAATAAAGTACTTAAGGCCGTTAAGAGCTACCTAGCTCTAGCTAGTAAGAGCTACCTAGTTTAAGCTATCGAGGGCAGCCTAATTAGAGTTACTAACGCCGCTAGTAATAAAGTAATTAACGCTATTAAGAGCTACTTAACTCTAGCTAATAAGAGCTACCTAGTCTAAGTCGTCGAGAGTAGCTTAATTAGAGTTACTAACGCTATTAGTAATAGAGTAGTTAACGCTATTAAGAGCTACTTAGCTCTAGCTAATAAGAGCTACCTAGTCTAAGTCGTCGAGAATAGCTTAATCTAAGTTATTAACGCTATTAAGAGTAGCTTAGTCTAAGCTACTAACGCTATTAGCATTAAAGTAGTTAATACCGCTAAGAGTAGCTTAATTAAGATTAAGGCTATAAAACGACCGGCTTAAACCTTAATATCTATTAAGATTATTTATAGTTTAAAGTTAATAAGCTATATAACTAAGAATTATTATTATAGCTATTAAGCTCTTATATATAGACGAGGAAGAGGGTATAAGGAAGGTAGCGATAGGAGATAATATAGCGGTAGTCTAGCTTATATATAAGCGAGCCTCGATCTAACCTTAGATTTAATCCGCTAATTAAAGACGAGATATATATCGCTTTACTATAACCGCTACGCTTTAGGCATAAGTAATAGACTTTAAGAAGTCTATATTATATTTATTATATATAGATAATTAAGAGGGTTTAAATAGCCTTATCTTTAAAAGCCTATAATATTTCGAAAGTATATTAAAACCTTAAATAAAGTTAATTACTTAATAGCCTAAAGTAATATTAGTCTTTAGTATTAATCTCTCTATACTTAAGTATAAGCTCGCGCTATATTACGCCTTTAACGCTTATATTATATTACTTAATAGCTTCCTCTATTTACTTATTACTTATACTATAACTAAATACTATATCGTTATATTAAGCTAAACGGAAATATAATAATGCCTTAAGCTAAAAATAATCTACTTTAGCTAGTAAGTCAGTAATTATACCTTATTTTCTCTCTTCTTTAAATATTTCTTTATAGTCGCTATCTATCTAGAATATTAATAAATTAAATACTATAAGGTAGTAAATATAACTCTAGGTAAAGAACCTACTCTCGCTATATAATATCTCTATTAGTAAAGCCGACGTCTCTTACGTTATAAACCTCGCGCTTAATAAGTACTTACTAGCTAGCACTAGCTTTAGTACTATTAGATCGACCTCTCTTACTATTACTGCCGCTAACCCTAAGAACTTAACTTAATCTCTTATTATTATAGCCCCTTTATCTAACTAAAATATATAAAGATTCTAATATCTAGAGTACTCGCTTAAGGTTACCGCTATTACTATTAATATAGCTCTAGCTATTATTACTAGTACCGCCGCTACCGCTACCGCCGCCGCCGCTATTATTGCCGCCGCTACTACCGCTACCGCTACTTCTTAAGACGCCGTTCCTTAATCTCTTATCGTTATAAGTCGCCTTTATTATAATAGAATAAAAGAGTCCGATAAATATAAAGTAAGATATTATAGACTAACGGGCTTAGATAAGGCAAGAGAGATTAGAAGCTATAAATATAGCTAGCCTATATCTTACTATACCTTTAATACCGCTATTACCTCCTCGGTATCGTTAGAGTATATAAATAGACTAGAAGACTTAGGTTAAGGATTTATACTAATACTATTAATAAAGGGTATATTATTAATTATTAGGCTTATATTACGTTCTTTTAATCTACTTATATTTATACTATACTATCTTAATGCTAGACTTTATATCGTTAAGTTAACCCTAAACTTACTTAACTAACCCTTTTTACGTACTTAATATAGCCTACTTATACTAGTATATATATAGTTAAACTAGCCTACTTACGCCGGCATATATACCGTCACTTTAACTTACTTACGCCAGTATATATATAGTTAAACTAGCCTGCTTCCGCCGGCATATATACTATTAAACTAGCCTGCTTACGCCAGCATATATATAGTTAAACTAGCCTGCTTCCGCCGGCATATATACCGTTAAATTAGCCTGCTTACGCTAGTATATATACCGTTACTTTAGCCTGCTTACGCTAGCATATATATAGTTAAACTAGCCTGCTTGCGCCGGTATATATGCCATTAAACTAGCCTGCTTGCGCCGGCATATATACCGTTAAACTAGCTTACTTACGCTAGTTATATTAGTTTATATATATATATGCTTTATATAGTTAAATAATTAAATATATTATCGCTATTTAAGGTAATTCTAATAGTCTTTAAAAGGAGTCATTTAGTCTAGTAGTTAAGGACCTTTATTAACCTCTAGACCTTACGATAATATTAGTTAGTCCTTAATATATTCCTAGAGAAGTATAGAATAGCTACGGTAATTAATCTTTATAACTCTAGGATATATATAGGCTTATAGGATAGTAATTAGGCTTAAGGCATATAATTATCTATCGTTAGACCGGGTAGCTAGAATTTAATATATCGTTAAGATAGCTAATAAACTAGCCTAATAATAGTAACGTATTCTAGGCTAAATACTTTTATTAGTTAGGTTCTTATACTTATTTAATATCTCTTTTTAGCCCTCTTTAGAAGATTAAGCTATAGGGGCTATAGGGTTATAAAGTTATCGCTATATAGCTAGTAAAAACGACTTTTATTGCTATTCTTTATATTATCTCTTTATAGCTACTAGCTATAAATAGACGGGTTAGATAGTATATTAAACTAGCTACGGTTCGAGTCCTCTTAGTAGCCTATATATGCGGTTTTTTTATATATATATAAGGTAGCTATATGCGGCTATTTAGTATAGATAGCTAGTAAGCGCATGAGGCTATTGCCGCCGGCTAGCTAGCGGGCACCTTAGTGTTAGTAGTGTTATAGCCGCCCTACCCGCGGCGGCGCTGCTGCTTATATAAGCGGCGCGGGGACTGCTAGGATCTCGTGCCTTAGGCATCTAAGGATCTTTACCGTCAACCTCTGCTATTAACTATGCCGTTAATATGCCCTTAACTATGCCCTTAACTATGCCCTCAACTATGCCCTTAACTATGCCCTCATTGAACTATATGCCCCGTGCCTCTTCGTGCCGGCTGCCGTGCATCGGCGCAATCGTAGTTAGGCTATAGGATATAGTACGCCCCGTCTCGAAGACTATTGCCGCGCGGCTAGGTAGCTTGGCGGGCCCTTGGCATGAAGGAGCTGATGTCTGAATAGTAAAGGGGTGATGTCCAAATAGCACATCTCAGGCAGAATACCTCCTGCCGGAGACCATGAAACCGAGGGCACATGGCCGCCCGGCGTCGGCTTCTTGCGTGACCCCGAGCCTGGGTCACATTGACTTGTTCCATGCAGCTTCAAGTTGCAGCCACTTCTGTGCCTGACCCACCAGACAGCCAGGCGGTGGGACGCGGGGCGGCTTCCAGCTCGTGCCGTTTCCAGGTCGTTGCTGTTGCGCCAGGCGAGGCTGCACGATGCAGCAGGCCGCCTGCCAACGGCACCTGCAGCAACCCCGCAAGGGTGATCCCTTGCCACGATCGTAGTATTACTTGAGTTGCCCATCTTGGGGCTGGTTGGAACTCGCGGCAGGATGACGTCTGGTCCAACACGTTGCACGAGCCCAGTTGGCCAACCGCTGTCTGGTCTCGAAGCGCATTGTTCGTACAGTTGTACGTCAGTAGCGAACGCAAATGGGGGACAAGAATGCCAACCCCACACAGATCTGCAGTGACAGGGATCCCACGGCGTTTTGGGCCCATGCTCCCTCACGGCGTTGGCGTCTGGGTTTTGCGCCTCACCCGCCGTCAGACGGCACTTGTCGGCAATTCCACGTCAGCGCCAGCCAAATATCATCTCGTAACATCGATCTCGGCGGCGGCCCAGCCTAGATGACTCGTCGTTTTGGACACTCTTCGTTGGGTGTCAAAATCCCAACCTGCAGAAGAGGAACACGAAAAAGTGCGGTGGCAACACCATCCAGCGAGCTAGTCATGCCGCGGCCCTGATCGACGTTGCAACGGCCGCGAGGGCGCGGAACGCGCGGTGGCCCCAACGAGCTGCATGCTACGTGCTGCATAAAAAGGCAGTCGGTTCTGATAGGGCCCGGGCGCTCGCTGCACATCTGGCATGCCGTCGCTGGGAATCTTTCCTGGGACATGCAGGGTCTCGGGCCAAGAGTCGTGCCGTCTGTCATAACTCCGCTCCGCCGCACAACGCCGCGCGACGCACATAAGTAGAAGGTACAGATTAGTGCCGTCGGAATGGCACCCAGCAATGTTGGCCTCGTGGTGTCGCGGAGACGTTGGTCACGTCTTAGCTTGGGTCCCGGGCATAGAGCCCAACAGATTTCTGATGTGACGGTCGGACCGTAGCGGGCATATTCTTGCCATGGTATAAAACCCTGGAACCCGGGCGCGCGTGGTGTCTTGCAGCAGCTACTGCGACCTTTGGTGTCGCTTCCGAGACCGAGTTGAGTCTGCGCACCCAAAATCACCAACCTCTTGCCTCTCCGTCGCGACCCATTGTCTGTCCTACGCGCCACCATGAGAGTCGACGCGACGCCCCAGACCACCAATGGCGCTCCTGACCTCGCGCTCCTCTCGAAAAAGTACGAACAAGAAAAGCAGAAACGCCTACGCCCAGATGGCAACGCCCAGTACCTTGAGCTGAATCTCAACACGTCTTCACGCCTCAAAGCCCTGGCTCACGACCCATGGGTAGACCACGCGGCTCTTAATGCCCAGGCTCCAAGTCTTCGCGATGGAGACGACGTGCGCTTGCTTGTCCTTGGCGCAGGCTACGGTGGGCTACTGTATGCTGTACGCTTCCTGGAGATAGGCTTCGCAGCGGCGGACATTCGACTAGTCGACACGGCAGGCGGTTTCGGAGGCACCTGGTACTGGAACCGCTACCCGGGCCTAATGTGCGACGTGGAGAGCTCTATCTACATGCCTTTGCTGGAGGAGACGGGATACATGCCAAAGCATCGCTTTTCTTACGGGTCCGAGCTGAGGCAATACGCCGATGACATCGCCGCAAAATGGAATCTGGCTGATAAAGCCGTCTTCCGTACGCAAATACGCTCCGTTGAATGGAACGATACTAAGCGGCGCTGGAGGGTGACCATGACCCAGGATCGTGGGCCAGACGAGCAGAGTATCACAATGACCGCCACGTCGCAATTTGTCGTTATGGCAAACGGGGTGCTCAACCATCCCAAGGCGCCCAAGATCCCGGGCCTCGAGACATTCGACGGGCAAATGATGCACACTGGCCGATGGGACTACGGCATCAGTGGCGGATCACCCGAAAACTGGAACCTAGATGGACTCAAGGGCAAGAGGGTTGGTGTCGTGGGCACTGGCGCGACGGCTATCCAGTGCGTCCCCCAACTGGCCAAATGGGCAGATCAGCTCTACGTCTTCCAACGCACGCCATCCGCCGTCGATGAACGCGGGCAGAGACAGATGACAGCCGACGAATGGAAAGCAGTAACAGCCGGCGAGGGCTGGTGGCGCTCTCGTAATAAGAACTTTCACCATGTCATGGCCGGCATTCCTGTCCCAAAGAATCTCGTCGACGATGGCTGGACCAACATCGATGCCTACAAGTACTTGAGTGGAGCGCCCCACGAGCCCCCGCTGAGAATGGAAGACATACCGGCACACGTGGGCCATATCCTCGCCCTGGATGCGCCGCGGACCGAAAGGTTAAGACAGAGAGCGGAAGAAATCGTCACCAAAGACAAGAAGACTGCAGAGGCGCTTAAAGCATGGTACCCTTCATATTGCAAGCGCCCCTGCTTCCACGATGAATACCTGCCTTCGTTTAATCTCCCCCACGTCAGTCTGGTCGACACCCAGGGCAAGGGGATCGACAAAGTGACGCCCTCCGGAATTGTGGTGGGAGATGTCGAGTACGAGCTGGACATTATCGTCTGGGCCACGGGATACCGTGCCCCGAATGACAGCAGATCTGAGCCGGGCAGGCGCTCCAACGCCATCATCACTGGCAGAGATGGCAAAACCCTTGCGCAAAAGTGGCTGGACGAAGGACCTGGCACTCTACACGGAGTCTTCACCCATGGGTTCCCCAACCTGGTGCTTACGGGGCCTTCGCAGGCCGCGGCCTCGGCCAACTGGATGTATGTGCAGGACGTTCTGTCGCGCCATGCAACCCACATAGTGTCCGAGGCGTTTCGTCGTGCAGAGGACGCTACACAAACGGTTGCCATTGAGCCGGCCAAGGAGGCCGAGGAGGCCTGGACAAGCCATATCACGTCGCGAGTGGCCTGGCTGGCGTCGCTCCAAGTGTGTGGGCCGAGCTACTTCAACAACGAGGGCCAGAAGCAGACCCACGAGGAAATGATGAAGACGCTCAGGGGAGCCCACGACTCTCGCGGCATTCCTGCCTATGAAGAGACACTGGAGCAGTGGCGGGCCGCCGGCGGCCTCCAAGGCATCGATGTGACCTGGTGAACTGGCATCAATTCAG